GGATTGAATTTTGCTACGCTTACTTGTGACATTAAAGAGTAGATAGAACGAGAGGATTAACTGGATTGAATTTTGCTACGCTTACTTGTGACAATAAAGAGTAGATAGAACGAGAGGATTTACTGGATTGAATTTTGCTACGCTTACTTGTGACATTAAAGAGTAGATAGGACGAGAGGATTAACTGCATTGAATTTTGCTACGCTTACTTGTGACATTAAAGAGTAGATAGAACGAGAGGATTAACTGGATTGAATTTTGCTACGCTTACTTGTGACATTAAAGAATAGATAGAACGAGAGGATTAACTACATATTTATGTTTTTTGAAAGCTTCTTTCCATAATATATACGAATTTTTTAATTGATATAACGTGAAAGTAGTTAACAAATTATTCCAAACGTTTGATGAAGATTCGTCACTACATACTAAAACTGGTCAAAGCAGGAAAATATTCGGTTTAATCAAAATCTTGAGTTCATAAAATGTAACCGTTCTTCTAAAGAGTATTGAAAATATTTAATTTTTATGAAGCTGAATACAGTTAATTTGCCAAATTAAAAACGCATTCTACGTAGTTCATTTGTGGTAAACAGAAACATTTATATTAATTTATGTTAAATCATTATATAGAGCTTTTTATTGCACGCTACGAGCACAGATGCGCGTTTACTTTTTTTTTTAGTGGAAAATTGAACAAGATTTACAAATTTTTTTTCTGGCTTGACCACAGTTGCTGAGTAGCAAAAATATCTTTCTACTATTGTAGCGATTAATATGTATTTATAGCTGGATTAACGTTATTAGATATTTAATACAATTAAGTATTCATCTGACATTAGATAAAACATCATTCATAATTATTATTTTACAAGTATATAACAGTCAGTTATAACAGTGGGTTTGTGAATGTGTTATCTGCCTGGGCAAACCCAAAATTAGTTTCTACTTTTTAAAAACATTATTGAAATAAGTAAAAAAAAAATTGAAATAGATACATTTGTTAAGTTTATATTTGAATTCGATGCAAAATTAACGAGGCCCACAATTAAATTTATCAGCAGAATTAAGAATCGCTGTCTGATTAAATATTTCATTGAATTCAAATACAAAATTTATTTATTTATTTTCGATTTTCATTGTTTTTTCACATAAAAATTCGTCGCTTTTAGAAAAGGAAACTATTTATTCTGGCCAGGTGGTTAGGGGCGCTCGACTCGCAATCTGAGGGGCGCGGGTTCGGATCTCCGTCACACTAAACATGCTTGCCCTTTCAGCCGTGGGGGCGTTATAACGTGACGATCAATCCCACTATTCGTTGGTAATAGAGAAGCCCAAGAGTTGGCAGTGGGTGGTGATGACTAGCTGCCTTCCCTCTAGTCTTACGCTGCTAAATTAGGGACGGCTAGCGCGGATAGCCCTCGTGTAGTTTTGCACGAAGTTCAAAAATAAATAAACAAACTATTTATTCTACGTCCATCACTTTTTAACAGTTTTATCACATATTTTGAGGACAACATTCCACATTAGTTTAAAAAAATTGAACAGATGTTGCAGGATTGATAAAATAAAATATTTTCTAGAGTGAAATGTGAACTAATTTCTCCCAAATATAAAAGTGTTTTATGCATGAAATAATAAGAAAAAAAACGTTATAAAGGTTTTATAAGATCCAAAAGGTTTGTTCTATATTTCAGGTTCTAACTGTTATTCTGTTCCTCGTGGCCACTATTACTAGTATATGGGGATTATTTCGTGTTCAAGATGGACTAGATCTCACAGACATTGTGCCACGAAACACCAATGAACATGACTTTCTCCACTTTCAAAGCAAGTACTTCGGTTTTTTTAACATGTTTACTGTAACTAAGGGAAATTTTGAGTACCCTACAAATCAAAAACTGCTCTACGAGTACCATGAGGCCTTCACAAGAGTAGACAAGATAATTAAGAACGATGACGGCGGCCTTCCGGACTTCTGGTTGTCACTTTTCAGAGACTGGCTATTAAGTGAGTACCTTTTTTTAAAAAAAAACATAGTTATTGAACAGAGAGAAAAAAATTATTGCAGTCGTTGCTACACTAAACAGTAAAATTGAGTGAGATTGAAACTTCAGATTTCTAGTTGGGTTTAGTTTTGTATAGATAAACTGTTGTTTCCAGTCTAATTGTAGCATTGTGACTTAAGTTTATCAATTTAAAACGTTTTTTGAATTTGAAAAAATTCACTATTAACAATTTTGATTTTGTCCTCTTCATCATTGAAGATATAAATATAATTTGCACCATCTTTCCAGACAAACAATATTATATATATTG